GTTGGTTTGGGGAGATGTGTGGTAAGATGTTTGTCGATTCCATGTATGAGAGGTTTATGGTGGTTTTATGCACATTGATTCTAATTTTTGCTTTCCTATTGATTTCAAATGATGGCACATTATGATGATATGAGAAGTTGTCTTGCTCTTCCTTTGTGATTCATGGTCGAATGCTTGAGGACAAGCATTAGTTTAGCTTGAGGGAGTTTGATAAGTCGTGTTTTGTGCATAATTGTTAGCCTCTTTTTAGTTGTTCTTATTAGTCTAGCTTAGTATTTTTGTTTATTTTGGTTTGAATTAGTTTAGTTTCGATGATTCGATGATTTTATGGGTAGTTTCGTTGTTTTTGATGTATTTCAGGATTAACGAAGCTAATTTAGAGATTTTATGAAGTCATGAGACTAAACCGAGGCCCACAGACCTTCACGAAGCTCGTTGGTCGAAGAGCGAGTCACTTAGACCTTTTTGGAGTCAAGCACGACCATGTTTAAGAGACGCACACCCATGCCCAGCTTAGGTACGTCCGTGCCTGAGCCTTAGAAACTGAGGCAAATTCTCTGGAAGTGAGACACGTCCGTGTCTCTCCTGCTGCCTTCGAATCTGCATATGAGGCACGTCCGTGCCCAATATAGGCACGTCTGTGCCTGGAGTCAAGAAGATGAGAAGAACCTTACTCGAAGTGAGGCACGTCCGTGCCTCTTGTAGGCACGTCCGTGCCTCTTGTAGGCACGTCCGTGCCTCTTGTAGGCACGTCCGTGCCTCTTAGGAGGGTTATGCGCTGAATTTTCTTACGTTTTCTTATCTTTTTGTTGGGAGTATAAATACCCCAGACTTTATAATATTTCACGATCTAGCATTCCTTATTAGACCTAGTTTTCTCTAAAAATTTTACGTTGCTTTTGTAATTCAAGATTCAAGTTCTACTTTTGCAATCTCCATTTATTTCAAGATTTGGTATTTTCCTTTCATCCCTTATTTCTTAATTTTGTTTTCTTTGATTATTTTTGCTATTTCTTATTTTAATATGTGTGAGTAGTTTTTAAATTCCAAGATCTAGGGTAGCCTAATTGTGATTGATGCATGAATTAATTCTTTAAATTCTCTAATGACAATTGCGATTGTTTATGCTAAATTGATTGTGATTATGCCAATACAAGATTAGAGATAATTAGTATTCTTATTATTCCATAGTTTTAATCACAACGAGAGTTGGGTTTTAACTGATTTGAGTAGATCAATTTAGGGTTTGAGATTCATCACGAAAGTAGTTGAATTGATAATTGGGAAGCGAAGTAAAGTGTTTAATGTCTCTAATTTGCATGATTCCATGAGCATAGGCTTGATTGTGTTTAGAGAATCCATTGATACTCGAGAGAGGTCCTTGGTATTGATTAGGGTTTGCTTTTCCCCATGTTAATTGGATTTGTATGCTAGGGGTAGATAGATAATTGCATCGATCGTAATTGTGGTGATACTTGTTCTTGGATGTTTTAGTTCATTGATTTACCACATTCTTTAGATTTATCGATTTCATTATATATTAGTTCTTAGAATATTTCACCATTGATTGTTACTTTCTTAGTGATAATTTGAGTCTATTTAATTAGGTGAACCTTAGTCTCTTGGGATTCGATCCTTACTTTCCCGTCTACATAGTAGTGGTCTCGTTAGGTTATTTTTGTTAGGTACGCGACACACCTATCAAGAAACCCGCCCACTAATCAAAGCAACTAAACAAGTAATCACATAATTAACAACATAAGAGAGAGAAGGAGAAAAGACATTCTTACCCTCGACGCGTGCTTTGCTCCTAAAGAGCTCGGACTTCAAAGCCTTAGCTCCGCAAGCGTGTGAGCTTCCGACGGAGTCCACCCCTCTAGACCCGACCCGAACAGCCTCTACCCCGAAGGTTAGTAGGGGCTAGACCAAGAAAAGACTAGAGTATTACGAACTTAAAGGTTTTCTCACCTATAGGGAGATGCCTTATTGAGTTCAACTCAAGTGATTTTTCCCAAACCCAAAACTTGGGTATTTATAGGGAATGGAGACTTGATCTCCCTTCTCCTATCAATGCGGAAGATTTGCATTTTTCCACCAATTTATTTTAATAAAAAACAAATTAAAATGCAAAGCAATCAACAAGCTCCAAGTGTCACATGGAGAGCAAGAGTGGGTGAGGACCATTCGGGGGGGGGGGGACCAAACCCCTTGCCCATCAAGTAACCCCCTTAAAATCGGTCCCCACAAAATCGGCACACACCTCGCCACTTGGATGGCTGGCAGCCTGCCTTGGTTGCCAAGGCTGCCAGCTGGCGCCTAACACCAAGGCTGGGCAGCCTAGCCAGCCAGCATGCAGCACATGCGTAGCCAGCCAACACATAGCCAGCCAGCGCATGCGATGCTGCTGCTTGGTGCTACTACGCTAGCACGCACAGCTAAGCCAACTTGCACGCAAACACAGCCCAGCCAGCTTGCACGCTGCTGCGATGCCCAACATGCACAACCCATAGCACAAGCACGCATAGCGTGCTGTTGTGCGAGTGCTATGCGTTGCATGCTTGTGGTAGTAAGGCCAAGCAACCACTTGCGTGTTGTTGGCCTTGCGATGCTTGCGGCAGGGCTGCTATGTGCGCGGCACTAGCATGCTAGCGCGCTAGCGATGCTGGCCATGCCACACCAGCTGGCTAGCAAGCTTGGCATGGTGCTTGGCCTAGGCTAGCCTAGCACTCGCATGGCTAGGCCAATGCGTGGCTACGACTTAGCTCGTACTTGTCGCTTGTTGATTTCTCGTCTCGCCGAATTCCAATTCAACTTGACTTGCGACGGTCGGTTTAGACGCTCTAAGCTCGATATCCGACGTCTTTGTTCGTAATACTCTAATGACTCATTTAATCCTTCAGATTAATTCGTCGCCTCGGATCGGTTACTCGATTGGGGTGTGACCCGAAGGGTTCAGTCTAGATTAAGCTGTAATATTAATTATACATTAATATTACTGATCGGAAGTGGCCTCCACTAGGCATTCCGATCACTTGACCTTACTGAAGAATTAGCTTTCTAATAAATCTGAACCCTATATTGGAATAATACACTTGTTGGAAGGACACCATTTCTTTTAAATCTCACACACATCACAAATATGTAGTTAAATGATCTGTCCCTTTGGAATCCTTTCTCATGAAATCTTGATACAAATTTGAAGCATGCCTTGTCATCTTCGAATCACTCATTATCATAGTCATTATCGCATCACAAAGTATGAGGTATTTAGCCTCCAAGACTAAGTTACCCAAACACTTTCACTATTGGATCATTAATTGAGATAGTCAATGATGCTACAATCCCTACACCTTGAGATACAACGATTAATGCATACACTTGATTAAGCTCATTTAATATGCATCATTAACTAATTCACTCTTTTCATCTTTTTCCTTTTGGGGAAGTTCAAAGACTTCATTTTTCACTAAAGATTTACCCATTTTCATTTTCGCATATCTTCATTCATTTTCACGTCTTTCTTTTCGAGAGAAAGTCGGTACCCTCCACAAAATGACGGATTTTTTTTGCTTTTTTTGCATTTTTGAGTCGCATGAGCACAATCACAACACAATGCATACACAAGCGATGAACATTAAGTCATGTCGTGTCACCATATCGAGTTAAGTCTACACTCTACACACATGAGTCTGCACACACGAGTCATGTCGTGTCAAAACACATCGAGTCGATTTAAGTACATTGAGCCATACAATGAGTCAAGTACACCAAGTCTTGGTCAACCCTAAGAAAACCACCTACAATGTCTTTTTGCAATATTTGATTTTACAAGATACACCTATTCATCGAAGCTTCTATTCGGAGTCAATTGAGTAGTCTCGCCATTCATCAAAGCTTCTGTTCAGAGTTAATCGAGCAGTCTCGCCATTCATCAAAGTTTCTGTTCGGAGTCAATCGAGCAATCTCACCATTCATTACACCAATCTTCGAGGCTTCTGTTCGAAGCCAATCGAACACTCTGAACATTTCATTCAAAGCTCCTTTGTTCTGAAACACGTGGACATCCCTTTCGAAGATCTTTTTTTTAGAGATAAGTGAACAATCCTTTTTAAAATCTATATATATACTCGTTCTGAATAATTGACTTGGTCAAATTTAGTATACATGTCAATGCACTAGTTTGAAATTAATTATATGTAAATAAATATTAGTAAAATATATATATATAAAAGTTGATATTATGAAACTGAATATTAATACCAATCTAACAACATATTTCATGATAAAATTTGTTTTCAATACGTTCCTAAAAAATTACGATCAAAGTTAGTATATTAATAGTAAAAAAAAGTCAAACATGTTAATGATTCTAGGACGGAGGTAAAAATAATTTAAATGTTAGTTTCTTCAAATGTATGGTCACTACATCCAACTCTTAAAGCGTTAAGAACGCCATCTAAAGTTAGAGTGAGGATGACTTTAATTTCGAAAGGTCTTTGGGTCTTTATCTTCTCCACAGAATTCGATTACGCCCGCTTGTGTTGCTTTGTACTCACAAGCCAAAAGGCAAGAGCGTGTCACACAACCAAGTGTTAAAACACTAATAATATAATTGGTATTATAGTTGAGGTTATAACCTTATTATTAAAGACCCATGCGATCACCCTAGTAAGGGCTTAAGTGAGACAAAAGCAACTTAAGAAAGACTTCTTTAGCTTGAAGTAAAGCTATTGATAGTCAACACTAAATGACTCACACTACTAGAAAAACATTTATTTGCAGCGGTTAAAAATCATTAATTTGCTGCGTTTGTGAGGTGGTAGCGAACGCCAGGGCAACAAATCAATTAATTGATTTGCTGCGCTGTCAACCACTGCAAATCAATGTATTTATTTGCAGCGGTGATCTATTTTAACCCCCGCAAATTAATATATTCCACCAATAAAATAATGAATGATTTGCTACGCTTTATGTGTAACACCCGCTGCTAATTAATAGTGTTTTTTTTTTTTTTTTTTTTTTGTAAATACTATTATTTGGTAATAAATAATGAATGAAACAAAATTTCGGCAGCACCTCTACTGTTTTTGTGTGTAATTTACTCATGAAGGACCTGTATTCCTTAACTTTATGAACAAAATACTTTAATTAGCCCAAATTAGATTATCACAATATATATGATAAAATGTACGATTCAATTTTGTACGTACATATATCAATCCAAAACAAAACACAAAATATTATTAAATAACTATGATCCACACACAATAATTAGTGAAATATAAGGCCTATATGTTCTGCACTTCTTCAATATCACCATCGGTGTAAGGATCTTCATTTAAAGACGTGCAAACCTATGAACATGATACAATATATATAGTAAGTAATCAAAGTAATTTTAAAAACAATAATAATAATAATAATAATAATAATACTTCACTTATAAAAAATAATGGCATTTGGACAACAATTGACTCACATAGGTTCAAAAGTGGTCAAAAGACTATGTTTTGTTTCTTGCTTATATTTTACATCGTTAATTGGTGTGAATAAGATTGTATATAGATGAAAAAGTCATTTTCAAGACATTAGGACTACAAAGAACCTTATATGACAAATTGTGAACCATTTGGGTAGTGTTATGCTTAAATGGGTTCAAAAGGGGCTAAAATGGACAACAATTGACTCAAATAGGTTTAAAATGGTAAAAAGAGCAAGTTTTGGTTCCAACTTTAATTTAATACCTTTAATTGGTGTAAATAAGGATATGTATGAATGAAAGTGTCATTTTCAAGATATTAAGACTAAAAAGAACCTTATTTGACAAAATTAGAACCATTTGGACAATATTTGACTTAAACAAGTTCACAAACGACAAAATGACCATGTTTTGGGTCAAGTGTAATTTTATACCTTTAATCGGTGAGAATAAGGTTATATATGAATTAAAGATTCATTTTGAAGACATTAGTAATGATAAGAATGAAATGTCATACTCATACCTCATCAATATCATTTGCTTCATCGTATTTGGAGAGTATGTTATACATGTATCTCATTATGTAAAAGCCACACTCGGTACCACCTCTTTGTTGAGCACACTAAGTAAAATTCAAGAAAAAAAATAGATTAAAGTGTATAATTGTTGTAAGGGTACCAAAATAAATTCCATACGATATCATCTAAAAAATATTATTTACTTACCGTCATGAGTTTCCATAGAGGTTTTTTTTTCCTATTCACACGGTTTCCATTTAGCTTATACCCAGTGAAAAACTATTCATTTTCATTACAAAGGTAGAATTATAAGTATATTACTCGTTGCAAATGTCTTACATATAATGTATATATAGAAACAAGAAACAATAAAATAGACTTACAAGCTCACAATAGGCTTCATTTTAACGTTTCTCCTTGTTGTTGGGCGAGCTGAGTCAAATTGATAAATAGTGCAAGTAGGTACACAAATCACCAAAAGCATCCGATGTTCCCTACGCCAAAAGGTAAGGATGTTAAATTCATCACATGTATGTACACTTAAGTGGTACATAATACGGAACTTTGTTACTACTTTCTCTTGAAAAATTGGTGCCATAATGATTTTGATCCATTTTCAACTAATTTGCTTATTGCTTTGAAAACGTACTTATGAATTTCATGCAAGCTGTTAATTACGAATTTTGGTTTCACAAGTAACCCGGATATACAAAATCAACTTAATAATATGATAACAAGTTGGTGCATATAAACGCATAAAATGTAATCACTATGCCACAATTCTGCTTATTACCTCATGAATACTTGAATAATTGATATGTTCAGCTTCGCTCCTCTTAAGAACTGAGAGGCATCCTTCTTACTTACCCTTGCAATCCCATCTTCTTCAAAATGGATTACAGTGTCATCTAATGTTACAGCAACGGGTGCCCCATCAACATTTGGGGAACAAGTACAGTTCTCTAGGTGACCTCTCCAAAGCATAAGTCATTGCTTGCGATCTCTGGTGACAAAGGCTTGAGTTTCTTTAGTTGGAGCGATTCCTAAAATGTGTCATGTAAAATAAGTTAGTTAATTTAATAAGGGTCTGAAGATGTTGATATGTAAAACAATTTCAGCTTTCAGTTAGTTAATTTACTAAGGGTCTGAAGACATAATCAGTCCATAACATTCAGCTTTCAGCGATCACATAGCAGTATGCAAATAATGGATTTTTATTGTAAAAATTAAAAGTATGCAAGACATGAAATCTTACCTCGATCTGGAATTTTATCAATGTTAAAGGCCATTGTGCATATGTATTAATCCCATTTTCTAACACTTCGATCTCAAACGTCTGGATAGGAACGAGAAGTGGCAGGCCATAAAACACTTCATGTATAGTATTAACTTCCACCTTCACATGACCAGGTAAGATGGCCATAACATAAACCAACTCATTCTAAACAGGTGGATATGAAGTAGCACTCCCCACGTCATATATCGATAACGTTTCAGGATCCTTTAAAAGTAGATTACATAAAGTCTTATCCTACAATTTATTTAAACATAGTAAGTCAATTTCTACCTAAAATCAAGAATATTAAGTATTAAGTTCATTGCAAAAGTATTAAATGAACAGGTAATTAATAGTTACCTGTAGCTTGAGTGGCAGATGGTCGTTCTGGTTTGATGGCGAAGTAGAAGAAACACGAGTACAAGTATCTTGCCCTGGTTTACAGGTAGCATCATTAGGCAACTTGAAACCCATATCTAGCAAGAATGAAAACATTTTGTCCCTCATGGTTGCATCAAACTCCTCTTTCAACTTTTAACGAAGTTTATTTTTCAGAGCTTCTCGTTCTTCAGTTGAAGTTCCAGTTTGGCTACACTTGGTCCTTCTTGCTTCTTTGCCATATGCCTTTTTGATGCCGACATTAACACCTCCAAAACCTCTTGCACGACCTAAATGATTTGGCTTCTGCCCAAAAGCCATGAATAATGCATCCTTGTTTTGGTGTGGAGTAAATTCGCCTCTCTTTTGCTTCTCTCTATAGTCAAGCTGTTCAAATTATCAATTACTATAAGCCAAATAATTAATTGGTTTTTTTTTATAGCTTGCTAATAATTATACTTACATATGCTTCAACAACTTCCTCAGTTTTGGAATTCGGGATGTATCTTTTTCCAGTCGCCTTGTCCTTCCTATGCATTACACAATACCAATCATCACCGCGATTTATTTCAATGGTAATTTCTTTGGTTTTGAACTTGCATGATTTTGATGATGTGGTTTTGCGAGACGGGTAAAAACCCTCCTCAATCCAAATCTTTCTGCTTTCCTCATAGTTTCTTTGCCCCATACCATGGTGATGATTATTCATACTTGCACTCTTCTAAGGCTTTTCTCGCTTTTCCTAATCATATGACATTTATTTTGGTTAATTTCAAAACATTATCAATTAAATTGCGAATTAAAGAATGAAATTACCTTTGCTTCATCGGATGTTTTTGGTTTTTTTAGATAGTTTCCAATCTTCTTCTTTTATGTGTCTGTACAATTGGTATGGCTCACGACCTTCCTCTTGTTTTGACTTTTTTCTGTGAAATTTATCCATCCAAATACTAGTTTAGCTTTAAAATCTCCAAATCTCTTAGCTATTGCACTAAAAAACACCTTTTTGTTATCTCTGGATCATCAGGTATATGGAATTGGGCCTATTAGGAAAAATAATATAATTACTAAAACACATCAGGTTATCATTTACATAAATTTATACACATTAGTACTCATCATGCTAAAATTGCAATACAATAGCAGCACCATTTGCATGATTCAGAGGTAAAAATAATAAATGTCAGATAACTTGTTAATAAAAGGTGATAGCTTAGCTTTTGATTTAGAATTACCCGGGTCTCTTGCCATAAAGTTTTCTTTAAGCCTTCACTGACAGTAGTATTTCGCTGGTTTCCCTGCGATATACCCATCTATTTTATAGATAGATGGGTAGAGAAAATTAAAATAAAGACTATTTTTCTTGAAGAAGGGAAAAAATGGAAAAGTTGTTAATCCTTTTTTCTATCGTTAAAGTGGAGAACTAACCAAGAATTCTCTTTCTTCATCATCAATCGAATCACTGCTTGCGACAATCTTTCTTTCCTTTGAATGAGGGGAATGTTTTTGCTAAAATGCTTCCTGGCTTGAAGTTGGGAGATTATCCTCTACCTTCTTTCAGGCTCACTCTAACAGTTCCTTTAGTCTGCTATCTTTATGTGAATACCATCTGTTAACCAGTTTTTAGGAAATTTAGTTTCGATTATTTTTTAATAGGACTTGTTGAATACCAAAAGGGTAGGTAACATCGACGAAGCTACCGCAAAAGCTCATAGAAGTTCATTGATATCTTCTTTTTATGAAGCAAATCAACTTCGATTCACATCAACAATAACATCACCAATATGAGCTTATCGGCGGTTGCTAACTCCTATGATTCGAATACACATCGGCAAGGATATGGGCCTGGGTGAGTTGGAAACAGAAAATATCTATATTAGCTTTTTATCATCCTGGCGTCGATTTATTTTTCCGCAGGACCTCCCCTACAGTATCATCACCGCAGTTGAGTTTAACCACCAAGTTAGAGACTCACTTCCTTTTTTCTTTGTGAGTTTCGGGAATATCCCGCTGCATCTCTCTTTCAAAGATGAGCGAGTCTGTACACCATTCCCAATTGATGTTTATCTTGCGTATACACAAGCCAAGCTGCTGACCTTACTTAAACCTCCATTTTCTAATTGGACGCAATAACTGATCAAATTTAAGGTGCATGGGTTCATTCACTCTTAAACCTCTAGTCGAACATCTTCCTTTACCAGTGTCATGACCTCTTCTGGTGGCATCCCTTTCTTAGAATTTTTCATATCTTGATGAGTAGTATTTGCAACAGTACAAGGTGTTGCACTTGTCATAACAACATCATTGAGAGAAGCCGTATCAACCATCCTTTCATAATCATCAAACATTTGCTCTAATTTAGCAATGTCCTCTAGTTTTCCCTTATCAACCTCTAATTCAACATCATACTCGGGGTCACTCTCTGATTTATCAGTAACTCTTTGTCATCGGCTTCCATATCATCATCAAATTCAGCATTACAAGCCATGGTCCTTTACTTTCAAGTGTACAAAAATAATCAGAAACACCTCACAACACCTGAGTATTATCAAAGTCAACATATAGGTAACCAATAAAAAGGAAGTAAGAAACTAGAAAAACATGAAATGATATTTTGGGGACTTATTACTGTCAGACCTACATATCGCAGCAATATGAAGAGGATAGTAAGCTCATACCCTAAAACATATGATGTGCTTGAAACTAACTCATCAGGATTAGTGTTAAGAATAAAATTTAAAAAAAAGCACTAAAATTGGTAGAGAAGTAAGATAATCCAAGTGCAGAGGTCTGCTAAACTAATGTGAAATACATAGTAACTGAAGTACATAATAAATTCAATACAGAAACAATCAGAACTTTCACTAACACTAAAATACACAAAATATCAACTGAAGTAATAATACTTGATGATCAACAGGAACTGATCATTAAGGTTATTCGACAGTAATGCCTTCTTAGTGATCTACGTGCATATAATTAGTGTCAACATCTAATCCTTCTAGCACATTACAATCTGGAATGGAGACTGGTTGCGTGTCGTCAAACTTATCATACTCTTCTTCATCATCGACATCACCTATCCCAAGAATGTATCTTTTCCCTTGAACAACGACATACCATTCCTTATCAACGATGTCCCTTATGTAGAACACTTGTTTACGGTGTGATGCTAATATAAATGGCTCTGCAGTGTCACGGAAATGACTCTTATTAACTGAAGTGTAATTGAATGATCCATTCTTGTTCACACCATGTCTCCCTTTATCATACCACTTGCATTGAAAATGTGAAACTTTGAATTCTGTGTTATCAAGCTCCCTAATTTCTTGGATTAATCCATAGTATGATAAGGTCACATCAATTGGGGACTTGTCCTTGGAACTTGCAAATTCTCTAGAAGGAGCAACAACCGTAACACCAATATTTTGCACGAACCTTGATTTTTTATCTTGACGTTCAGTGTATAAACTATATCCACTAATGTCATACCCTTCATAAGAGCATATAGTTTTTGGAGGACCATATGCTAACCATTTGATTGTTTCAGAGACGTTTCCTGTTTCAGACAACTCTTGCATCACTTCATCACTTAACCAATCAATAAAAATGCGATTATGTTCTAACATTAGGGCCCTTTCACCTTTGGAAGGATTTTTCGATCTCAACTCACTCATATGCTTGCCAAGGTAAGGATGAACCTCCGTAAGATGGTGTATTAAAAAGAGGTGAGCTTGCATATACTTGTCTGAAGGGGCGAATATACCTTTACCACCAATTGTACCCTTAATTTCAAGACTCCCTTGACGTCGAGATTTTGGGAGTCCAACAGGATGAGCTCTATACAAAAACTTAGAAATGAAGTTACCAACCTCCTCTCCCACCATCCCTTGAACAATATAAGCTTCTGATCGAGCTGGATTCCTCACCTTATGTTGCATGGATCCCATATGCCTTTCAAATGGGTAAGCCTATCTCATAACAACCAAACCACAAAGCTTAATCTCTCGAACAAGATGAATGACCAAATGAACCATTATGTCAAAGAAGGAAGGCAGGAAATACATTTCAAATTGACACAATGTTGCAATGACTTCTGATTGCCAACTATCTAACTTTTTCGGATCAAGCACCTCATTGCATATAGTATTGAAAAATGAACAAGTCTTGTGATGGCATCTCTAACATGCTTAGGAAATATCCCACGAATTGCAATGGCAAGAACACTTGCATCATGACATGACAATCATGGGATTTCATGCCAACCAATTTCAAATAGGTCTTGGAGACGAGTCTATGTTGGATGAATATCCACTAGGGACCTTAATGTCATAAAGGCATTCACATAATTTCCTCTTCTCTTCTAGAGACAATGTATAATAAGCAGGAGGAAAATACGATGAGGTGCCCTTTCCTTTCCATGCATTTTCCTTAATCACAGGCCATAACTCTGGTCGAATCTTCATTTCCATCATATCTTTGCGAACCTTTACCCCATCTTTTATCTTGTTAGGAATATTAAACAGTGTAACGAGAATGGCATCACACACATTCTTTTCTATGTGCATGACATTCAAACAATGTCTAACAGCTAAATGTTGCCAATATTCAATCTTCCAAAACACTTACTCTTTCTTTCAAATGACCTCAGGATCGGTGGCTTTATTTGGTTTTCCAAACGCCGTTTCAATACCTCTAACTCAATCATAAAATTCTGTTCCCAATAATGGCCTATGAGCTCTCCCCTCTTCTACCTTACCATTAAATGTGGCTTTTTTCTTTCAGTATGGATGCATCCTATCAAGGACTTTCGAGTAGCTCTATACACATACTTCCTAGAATTTGGTAAATAGGTAGATTCCGTATCGTCTTCACATATTGGACATGCCTTCTTTCCCTTGATCTTATACCCTGATAGATTACCATAAGTTAGAAATTCATTGACTGACAAAATAATATAGCTCCCAAGGTAAAAGATTCAATACAATGAGCATAAAAAACCGAGATCCCTTCGTCCCACATTTTTTTCAAATCATTGAAGAGTGGAGCTAGGTAGACATCAATATCGTTTCCGGGCTGCTTGGGACCTGATATCAACAAAGGCATTTCCGCTTCATACATAACCAAGGAGGAAGGTTATAAATAACAAAGAGAACTGGCCATGTATTGTGTTGTGTGCTCAGACTACCAAATGGATTTATTCCATCCGTACAAAGGACAAGCCTAAGATTCCTGTCTTCTTTGCCAAATTCTTGAAATTGATTGTCAATAACAGCCCATTTTGGAGAATTAGCCAAGTATCTTAGAAGTCCATCTTTCTTCCTATGATCAGCATGCCACCTTAAAATCTTAATTGAAAACATTCGCCGAAACCTTGGCATTATAGGCATACACCAAAGCACTTTGGCAGAAGGGCCGTTAATTCCCTCCCCGGATTGAACTCCGTCGGGCAACTTGTAACGAGACTTATGAAATCGAGGGCATTTATCCAAATGTGCAAATTCATTTCGATACAATACACAATCATTCGGAAAAGCATCTATTTTCTCATACTCTAAACCAAACGTGCACATCAACTTCTTAGCATAATAAGTCGACTTAGGCAATGCATGACCCTTCAGAAGCATATCATGCATCGCTTCCAACAAGGATGTAAAGCTTGTGTCAGACCAACCATGCTTTGATTTCAAGTTGAATAAGGTTAGCACGACGGATAACTTGCTATATGTAGTACATCCAGGGTATAATTGTTTCTCAGTTGCTTCAGACAATTTCTCAAATAAATGAGGTCGTTCATCAAATTCATGTTGTGCCCCCTTTAACATTTCTTCTATATTATCTTCCTCAATGTTATACTCCTCATTAACATAAACCTCATCAATGTCATTATCATCATCTAGTTTAGATCCATTAGCTCCTACCCCAAGCACTCATCATCATGAATATGTGGATGTTCAGGTTCGAGTTCAGCATTAGATTGCACATGTCATTCATGCATTGAATGTAACATATAATTTCCCCT